GGTCTTCGGAACCGGATCTCTGGGGGCCGACGCTGGACGAGAGTTGTTGGATCTGGTCCAGGGGAGCCGCTCAGTCACGGATTTTGCCATAGACTTCCGCACCAAGTGTGACTGGAACCCGGCCGCTCTCCGTGATGTCTTTATGCGGGGGGCTGGCTGGGTACATGAAAGATGAACTTGTAGCTTATGAACTGCCGTCTACCCTGGAGGGTCTAATTGAGCTCGCCACCCGTCTCGACCTGCGCATCCAGGCTCGCAGGAGGGAGAGACGCTCTGAGTTCCAGTCACGTTCTGCCCGGCCACACAGCTCCCTTCATTCCAAGTCTCCCGTAACTCCTGCCTCCTCCTCGTTAGCCTCAACCGCTCCTGTAAGTGTGGAGGATCCTGAGCCTATGCAGCTGGGTCACACCCGCCTCTCACTTGAAGAGAGGGAGAGAAGGCAGAGACTGAACCTTTGTCTGTACTGCGGCCAGCCAGGACACTTTGTCAGCCGGTGTCCAGTAAAAGCCAGAGCTCACCAGTGAACGGAGGCATACTGGTGAGCTCCATCCTTGGTCCTGCCTCCCCTAAAAGGCCCAGCCTCACTGGTGAGTTCCTGCTGCCTTCTGGCTCCCACTCCATCGCCGTCCTCGTCGATTCAGGGGCTGACGAGAGAATTATGGACCAGGCTCTCGCTCTCCGGCTTGGTCTCCGCCCAGAGAAACTGTCATTGCCCATCTCAGCCAGCGCCCTGGATGGACATGTGCTGGGGAGGGTTACATCACAAACCAACCCTGTGCGCATGCTCCTGCCGGGGGGCCACAGTGAGACCATCCAGTTCCTGCTCCTGTCTACACCAAGCCAGCCTGTCATCCTGGGGTATCCCTGGCTTCGCAGGCACAACCCCAACATTGATTGGACTACCTGTTCCATCCAGAAGTGGGGAGAGACCTGCCAGCGGACCTGCCTCAGGATACCATCGCTGTCATCTGCTTCTCCTGTTCCTGCTCCAGCCCCACATCTCATCGGAGTTCCAGCAGCTTATCATGACCTGAGAGAGGTGTTCAATAAAGCTAAGGCCACCTCTCTGCCACCTCACCGCCCCTATGACTGTGCCATAGACCTCCTCCCGGGCACTTCGCCTCCCAAAGGACGCTTGTACTCTCTCTCTGCTCCTGAGAGAAAGGCCATGGAGGAGTACATACAAGACTCCTTAGCGGCAGGGATCATCCGTCCTTCCTCTTCACCTGCTGGTGCAGGGTTTTTCTTTGTGGATAAGAAGGACAAGTCTCTGCGGCCCTGTATAGACTATCGTGGACTTAATGACATTACAGTTAAGAACCGCTACCCCCTCCCACTCCTCTCCACAGCCTTTGAACTGCTGCAGGGGGCAACAGTGTTCTCCAAGCTCGACTTGAGGAATGCTTATCATCTGGTTCGCATCCGGGAGGGAGATGAGTGGAAGACGGCCTTCAACACACCAACTGGACATTATGAATATCTGGTGATGCCCTTTGGTTTGACCAACGCCCCGGCCGTCTTCCAAACTTTGGTCAACGACCTGCTCCGGGATATGCTAAACAAGTTTGTCTTCGTTTACCTGGATGATATCCTGATTTTTTCTCGTAACCAGGGGGAGCATGTCACTCATGTCAGATCTGTCCTCCGCCGCCTCCTGGACAATTCCCTGTATGTCAAGACAGAGAAATGTGAATTTCATGTACCCTCAGTCTCCTTCCTGGGATACATCATTGCCAAGGACTGCTTGCAGATGGATCCAGCTAAGGTCTCTGCAGTGACCTCCTGGCCAGTTCCGGAGACACGCAAGCAACTGCAGCGTTTCCTGGGGTTTGCCAATTTCTACCGGCGTTTCATCAGAGGTTTCAGCTCCATTGCCTCTCCCCTCTCAGCCCTCACCTCATCCAAGACATCCTTCCGCTGGACTGACGAAGCACAAGGCGCCTTTGACACCCTCAAGACTCGCTTTTCCACTGCTCCCATCCTCCAGATCCCCGACCCTGATCGCCAGTTCATTGTGGAGGCGGACGCATCCAGCGTGGGGGTGGGGGCGGTTCTGTCACAGCGATCCACCGTCGACCAGAAGGTCCACCCCTGTGCCTTTTTCTCTCGCCGCCTAACTCCCGCGGAAAGGAACTATGATATTGGTAACAGGGAGCTTCTGGCGGTGAAACTGGCCTTGGAGGAATGGCGCCACTGGCTAGAGGGAGCTAAGGTGCCATTCATTGTGTGGACTGATCATCGCAACCTGGAATATATTCGATCTGCCAAGAGACTGAATTCCAGACAGGCCCGCTGGTCACTGTTCTTTGACAGGTTTAACTTCACACTGTCCTATCGACCCGGGTCTCGTAACATCAAACCAGATGCACTTTCCCGGCAGTTTCCTGAGTGTCCTGATGAAACGGTTGAGCCCTCCACCATCGTCCCAGCCTCCTGTCTCGTTGCTTCTGTCACTTGGGAGATAGAGGAGAGGGTGCGGGCCGCCACTGAGGACCAGCCTGGTCCTAGTTCCTGTCCCCCCTGACCGTTTGTTTGTTCCGGCTCACCTCCGCTCCGATGTGCTCCAGTGGGGGCATGCTTCCCGGCTCACCTGCCACCCCGGCATTCAGCGGACCCGAGACTTCCTGCAGCAGCGCTTCTGGTGGTCTTCAATGGAGGAGGACGTCCGAGGCTATGTCAACGCCTGTCCTGTGTGCAACCAGAACAAGACCTCTCGTCGTCCACCAGCCGGCTTCCTGCACCCATTGCCTGTTCCTCATCGCCCATGGTCACACATCTCCCTGGACTTTGTAACTGGCCTACCTACTTCCAAAGGTCACACTGCCATCCTCACAGTTGTCGACCGTTTTAGCAAGATGGTCCACTTCATTCCCCTTTCCAAGCTTCCCTCTGCCAAAGAGACAGCTGAACTGGTTCTCCAGAACATCTTTCGTCTCCATGGACTGCCCACTGACATTGTCTCCGACCGGGGGCCCCAGTTCACATCCATGTTCTGGAAGGAGTTCTGCAGTCTAGTTGGGGCCTCTGTCAGTCTGTCTTCTGGCTTCCACCCCCAGTCCAATGGGCAGACAGAGAGAATGAACCAGGACCTGGAAACCACTCTTCGCTGCTTGATCAACCACAACCCTGCTTCCTGGTCTGAACAACTGATCTGGGTAGAATATGCCCACAACACCCTCACCTGCTCTTCTACTGGACTTTCTCCCTTCAAGTGCGCCTATGGCTATCAGCCTCCACTGTTTGCCAACCAAGAGAGGGAGACTGCCTGCCCATCGGCACAAGCCTTTGTTCACCGTTGCCGGCGCACCTGGGACCAGGCACGTACTGCTCTCCTCAGGTCTGCTGACCGCTACGCTGCTGCCGCCAACAAGCACCGCACGCCTGCTCCCGCCTACCAGGTTGGCCAGAGGGTCTGGCTCTCCTCCCGTGACTTGCCCCTAAAGGTGGAGAACCGCAAGCTGGCTCCCAGGTTTGTTGGGCCCTTTCCCATTGCTCGCATCATCAACCCTGAGGCGGTACGTCTTCGGCTTCCCCGGTCCATGAAGATTCACCCGACGTTCCATGTCTCCAGGATCAAGCCAGTCCGAGAGAGTCCTCTGGTTCCTCCCATGCCGCCTCCTCCGCCTCCTCAGCTCGTTGATGGCGGTCCGGTGTATGCTGTCAGGCGCCTCCTTCGCTCTCGCCGCCGTGGACGTGGGATGCAGTATCTTGTGGATTGGGAGGGGTACGGTCCGGAGGAGCGTTCCTGGGTGCCGGCTCGGTTCATTGTGGATCCTTCGCTTATTTTTGACTTTCACCGTCGGCATCCTGACCAGCCTGCCCCGTCCTCACTTCCGCCTTCTGCGGGCCCATCTGCTGATGGACCTTCTGATCCTCTGGTCAGGGGGGCACCGATGTGGCTGCCTCTTCCTGCTCATCTTCCTCTTCTGCTGCAGAGGACGTGGACTCTGCTGCCTCTGAGGAATTTTAGCCCTCCTCCGGGCCCCCTCCACCCTCCCAGCTCGGGCTGGTACGCCTGGGGTCGTCCCCTTGCCGGGGGGTACTGTCATGATCCGTTCCTGGCTTTCCGTCCTACTGCCAGTTCTGCCAGTACTTTTCCTGTTCACCTGCCTGCCACTCTCACCTCATCAGTGCAACCACCTTCACCTGTGTTCCCTCACCTGGTTTAAACCCACTCTGTTCACTCAGTCTCTGCCAGATTGTCTTTAGCAGCATGCAAAGCTCTCTCGCAGTATTTTCCGGATTGCTTCCTTGGTTTCGACCCTACTTGTCCTTGACCCGTCCTCGTCGTCCCTGCCCAGGTAACCTGAACTGCCCTTCTGTCCCTGACCCCTCTGCCTGCTCACCCCTCGTCTGTCTCCAGTTTGCTTGGATTCCCTCCCTGGAGATCTCAACTAGAAAGTCAGACTGTTTTGCTTTGTGGATTGTTCCTGTGTACTTGCTGTGGATTTTACGACCCTGCTTGGTCAATAAACTGTCGAACTTTGCCAACACTGGTCTCAGTCTGTGCTGTTCTTGGGTCCAATCTCACGCCCATTACACAAGCTGGATAAAAAACAACAACAAATAAACTTGTAGCTGTCATTTTCCACCCTGTGTAGCACTCTTCAGCTTTCCTTGTGAAATCAACGGCTAATAACTAATGCACCAAACATTACATCACACCAACTCTACACAACACAGATTGATTCAAGTATTAACAACAAGAGTCATTAACAGTCAACAGAAGTTGTAAAGTGATTAGTGGAATTTTAACAAAACTATTGATTAAAAAGTAAAATGTATCAAATCATTCCTGTTTCATAGTTTTATTAAAGTAATGAATACATTGATTTTAACTCATTTTAATACGATACATTAAAGCATTTAAAAAAACATGGGTGGTCTAAATAAGGAAGTGAGAGAGTTCAACACTTGCATGACATTCTGAGACTAACAGTGGGCGTAACATTTCAATATAAGACATGTTCCCTCTAGCGTTTATGTGGCTAAGTAGAATGAAGATGTGGAGCCTTGACAACCTGCTGGTTACCCTGTGCAGTAAGTTTCATAGATTACAGCTGACAGCATTTATGTCTACATACATAAGATTAATAATGTATTCATACACATCACAACAGATACTACAAGAAGCTACATACAATTTTAAGACCCATTTGCACACATTTTGTTTTGTTACATTTCTTGTTGTCTTATCTTTGCAGTTTCTCTGAGCTGTGTGAGCAGTGCAGCAGGGTTGATCCATGTGTTTGGATATGAAGGGAGAGACGTTAATGTTGCTTGTCCCTATGGAGAGGGATATGAGTCTTATGAGAAGTACCTGTGCAGGAATGACTGTGGCAACGATGATGTTCTCATTACAACGACAGGAGCACCAAAGAACAAATACTCTATCCACGATGACCAAAAGAAACGAGTCTTCACAGCGACCATCTCTGATCTTAAGTTTATGGATGCTGGCAAATACTGGTGTGGGGTGACTATAACTGGTTACGATATCTACCCTGCTGAAGTAAAAGTGGAAGTTAAACAAGGTCTGTAAAAAAATACACAAACCCCAGAATTTCTATATTGTCATCATACTTATATAACCCTGTAGTTTATTTGCTACAGGTTGGACACACAACGTATTATGGGTATGAGGCCATAATATATTAAACAATTCAACTCAGTTAATGACTTTAAGAAGCTGCAAAAACATTGTTAGTGGTTTTTACAGTTTTTTCATATTGTTATTTCCTGCTTTAACGTTTGAGTGTTTGCGCTGTACAGCACCTTGTAACTCTGGTGTTTTTAAAACTAAATATTACTTAGTTACTGATTTACAGTGGTGAAATGTAACTAAGTACATTTACTCAAGTACTGTAAATAAGTACATTTTGAGGTACTGTATGTATTTTCTGTATATTTCCCTTTTCTGCTACTTTATACTTCTACTCCACCACATTTCAGTGGCATATATTGCATATTTTTACTGCATGACATTTTTCTGACGGATATAGCTACTTTGTAGATTCACTTTTAGATAAAAGACACATCATCATATATAGCCTATATAGATTATACTACCAGTAAGTAAAATATTTTAAAAGAATAGCATTACTACCACATTGGTCAACTATTATGCTGTTTACATGTAAATGAATAAGTCACAATAATCCAGTAGTAACACAACACTGAGTGGGTTCGTTCTTTCTGCATGATCAGTTAACAATACTGTATTTTACAAAAGTAAACATTTTAAATCACTTTTTTTTTTACATTGTGATATTACTTTTCTTGTCTGTGCTTGTGACGGTCTGTGATGTTGATTATTTTACTGACAGACACCTGCTGTGACCGATCCACCAAAGTCCAAGGTTATGAGACAGGTTCAGTGTCCTTCAGTTGTCCGTATGACTCTAAGTACCTGAACAACATAAAGTACATCTGCAGAGGAAACCAGCCCTCCACATGTCTGCAGCAGGCTTTAATCACCTCTGATCACAAACCAAACAGACAGTTCACACTGACTGATGATACAGCTTCAAGGAAATTCACAGTGACTATCACTGGTGTGACCCAAAGGGATTCTGGGTCGTACCTTTGTGGTGTCCATAGAAACACTGGCCTGGATGTTTTCTCTGCTGTTGAGCTGGAAGTCAATGGTGAGTCATCATAGCTCTATCTCATCATATTGCAGTGAACCATTAATTTCCTACAGTATGTAAATCAGCCAGAAAACTGTTTTAATGAGAAAAAAGATATTAAAAGTTTGATTTTAAACTTGTATAATTTGTCAAAATGTCATATTTGGAGGAAAATCCCCATGCACATCCATTTCTAATGTGATCGTAGGCTCAAATCTCCTTGTTTGACAGAGTGGTGCTGTGTGAAATCAAGCAAACTGAGCGGCATTGTGGGACATCCAGTAACCATGCAGTGTCCCTATCCACCACAACACAAGAATAACAGGAAGTTCCTCTGTAAGGGAGACCATCACATCAGCTGTACAGACATGGTGACGAGTCAAACCAGGTTCACGCTGCAAGATGACGTCTCTTCCAGCTCTTTCTTGGTGATGATCACAGAGCTGAAAGCAGGTGATGCTGGGACATACTGGTGTGGTTCAGACTCACAGTGGACTACTGCTAACTACACCAAGATTCATCTGTCAGTAGGTAAGGTTATAAAAAGAGCAGCAGATGGAGAATACAGTTCAATATCTGACAGTAAAAATGAATGTAATCCTGCTGTATAAACTTTGTGTCCTGCAGGTTCAGTTAGCACAGGTCTACATCATGTGACATAATGTGTTTAATGCATCTTCCTCTTTTCTGACCATCAATCAATAGCAGAACTGACAGTTAATCTAGTCTAAAATGTTACTGGCTAGTATCACATATATTATGTTATGATGAACAGAATAATGCAGTACTTCGCTCTCCCTCAAATAGCAGTCACATTACAAAATCTACAACTTGTTAAAAACACATTGACCTTTTTTTTCCCTATTTTATGAAGTCATAAAATTCCCCCTAAACAATATGTTACAGACTAAGATAACGTTGTACATTAGATTGTAACATGCATTGAATAATGGAATTATACATGACTTTTCTCTGTTTTGATATCAGCATTATACAGCCGCCCTACTCTCTAAATATTGGCGTCTGCATCAGCCATGGAGAAACCCGTATCAATAATCTGTGCCAAATTTCAAATAGTTTTAGAGGTATTTCTGTCTGGACAGAGTTGGTAGACTGACTGACAGACCAACAAACATTACTCATACAACTTACTATAGAATATAATATATATATATAAATATATATATAAAAGAAATTTTCTCTCTGACAGACACACCACAGACCAACAGTGTGACGTCAACCATCACTGTGGAGGAATCTGCCAGATCGCCATCAATGCATATCCCTGGTAAAGATGTCATGGGTACATCATGTGGTCAAGCAACTTGCTAAAACATACACAGAGCAATTATGAAAAGTGAACATGAACACATCAAAGGCCACAGTTCAGATGCTGTTGTATGTTTTCAAG